TTATTGATTTATTTTTAAATACTTGACAGGAAGTAGATTGTAGATATAATTGGCAATATAATATTGATATAAAGCAACTTCTTTGAATAAAATTTACAGTTTAATTTATTTATATACATATGGGTGTTTATGTGTGGATGCGAATGAATGCAGATATTATTTATTTTTTTATCTTTCTATACATTTAGCATCTGTAATTATAAGCATACAATATTTTTTATAATTCTGTAATTTATTTATTTTTTATTCTTTTTTTAACTTGTTTATAAAACATAAAGGTTTCCTTTTTATGTTTTACTTTCACTTACCTATATTCCATGGAACAGACACTTTTTTTATCAAATTATTAACATCTGCTGAAAACTTTGTTAATACCTTCCTTTCATCGTAACCTACATATATTTTATTCACAAAAATTATCGGAATTGGCATGTTTTTAATCTAGAGATTGACAAACGTAGTCTATTTAATTAGGTAATAAAAACTCATGAATACCCATTTGCTTTCCACTTGAATCGTAAGATAATATGATAAAAAAATGCCCCCCCCAAAAAAGGTGGCCTACAAATAAAGCTATCAATTACGATGATGTAGCAACTCAAAAAAGTTGAGCAGCCATACAATTTTATTGTGCTTCTCTCTCATAATGTTCATATTACCTTCAGATGATTTAACAGCAATAGAAGTATCACATAAAAATAATTATAACATATTAGGGAGACCGGAAAATAATGTCGTTTCTGTGCATGTCACTATTTGATCGTCATTTGTCAGCTCATTGTGTACATCAAAGTCATGGCAAAAACATTCTAAGGTTAGAAGGACTTGTTTAATTGTAAATAATTAAATTTAAACTTTCTTTTTGCAATCTTGGGAGAAATGGTCAGTCAAATACTAGAAGAGGTACCAATCCGGCATAGCATGCTTTTTGGGTTTCGCAAAGGTAGTAATGCAACAGTTGCTACAAAAAACATTTGTGATGTTTATCCAAATGCATTAGACGTTAGTAAATCCAAAAGATGGATTTCCTAGTTCAAATCCGGTAATTACAATATTTTCGACTTGTATCAATCAGTAAGACACAACGTTAGACAATGAAGTGTTAAGAGCGAAATTGGAAGAAAATCCGTATCAATTAATAAATTGTCAAACAGACTTAACCAACCTAGGTTGACCATCCAAGAACAAATGTAGTAGAAAGGGAAGCCACCACATACAACTTATTGCTTCTACAACACAACGCAGAAGCGTTTTTTGATCAACGGAGATGAAAAATGGGTTCTCTATGTTAATCCAAAACGCAAAAGGCAGTGGCTCTCTCCAAATGAATCGCCACGGATTACTGCAGAGATGGGTAAATGCTAAGCAGAGAACCAAGTACCAAATATTTTACTCAAACTAAATCACTATTGGGGATTCAATTACTACTTCAGTTAATCGTATAACACCAACTGAAGTATTAATTCAATTCTTTGGTAGTAAAAAAAGGTGAGTATTTGAGTCAAATATTTAGTAGTTAGTACTAAAAGTAGCATTTGTCCATCTCTGCTGCTAAGTCAGGTTTAGAAGAATTATGATCACTTATTCCCAAATAAAAAATTAAATTTTATAATTATTTCATTGACGTTTTAGCTCATGGGCACAGATCATAATTATCATGGCAACAAACAAAGACACAATATGAGATATAACTTATGATAAGAGAGTTTATAAAAATAATAACAATTAATAAAAAGTTTATTTAAATCTGATACATAGGTTGTGATGTCCAACCTTGTGTGGGGAAAGAGCACTAGAGCCCTTGATTTGGAGTATATTGGTTAGATTTCCAACTGGATGAGGTAGTATTTATCTTTGGTTCACAAAACCAATTTTGATACCCTGGTAAGTACAAAGAGTTGATAAAATAAAAAATAAATGTTATTGGAGGCTTAGTTTTTGAAAAACAATTGAATTTAAGATTATAAAATAATAATAATAATAATATGATAGATGAGCATGCAACCTTAAAATTGTTAGTATTTTCAAAAACCATTGCCTCTGATAATGTAAAAAAGGATCATTTTATCAAAGAAACTTAAAAGGTTGAAATAAATCAATATATTGAGTCTGTTTTATATATGTTTTCAAATATTTAACTTGGTATATGATTCGAGACAGACTTATATATTTCAATTAGACTTTAAAATTCAAGAAGCTTTTGGTGACCAGCACCATATTCATCTCTTACAATCTTTACTTCTGTTATTTAAAAAATCAATAATTTGAACATCGTAAATATTTGGTTTCATATATATATATGAATATATATATATATATATATATATATATATATATATATATATATATATATATATATATACACTGACAGGCAAAAAATTCTACCCACTTGATTTTTTCATGTTTTCATCTAAAAATATTTCTGCTTTGGATTGGTCTATTGTTTTTAATGAATAAATAGGTAATATTTTTGTTTGTTTTCAATTAGGAATGTTAATATAGAGGACAATAACCCTTAATCCTTAATTCAATGAAATGATTCTAGATTCCAATGTTTCCAAGATTCCAAAAAGAACCATTATTATTCTAAAAGAAATTAATTACATCATCGTTTAGTAGTGCGTGGTTCCTCCTCTAGCCTTCACTACTTCTTGAAGACGCTTCGGCATACTTTCTACCAGTCGGGAAATGTTCCTTTGCTGGAGGATAGCCCATTCCTCCTAAAGAGTCCTTTCAAGGTCCTGCAGTGTATCAGGAAGTGTTGCACGCACTCTTATTCGTCTTCCGAGGTTATCCCATAAATGCGCAATGGGGTTCAAATCTGGAGAACGTGCTGGCCTGGCTAAAACCTCAATATTGTTCTGTTGAAGGAACGTCTGCACTATGCGGGTGACATGTGGGCGTGCATTATTGTGCATTAGAATAGAACAATCGCCGATTTCGTTGAGGATAGGCAACACATGAGGTTCCAAAATCTCATCTACATAGCGAATGGCCGTCAAAGTCAAAGACCCTCCACGAACAACAACCAATTCTGTGCGGCGCTCCATTGAAATCTCAGCCCACACCATTAAGGAACCACGTTGGAAAGGTTGGCTCTGGGAAAAATTACAGGCTGCATATCTTTCGTTTCTTCTTCTTCACACTCCGTCTGGAGATTGAAGAGCGAATCTTGACTCATCTGTAAAAAGTACAGCACTCCATTCGTCCATAGTCCAATGGCTGTGTTTTCGAGCAAAAGCCAGTCGTGTTACTCTGTGAGTTCTGGTCAACTCTGGTCCTCTTACTGGATGAAAAGCCATTAATCCATACTCATTTAATCTTCTCCGAGCATTACGTTCAGAAATTTACACACCTCGAACTTCTTCGAGCTGATGAATCGCTTGAACAACGGTAAGGTGCCGGTTTCGTAAAATTCTTAAAGTCAAAAACCGGTTATCCCGTGGTTCTGTTACTCTAGGCCGTCCAGAACCGGGCCTTCTATTGTAAGAACCAGTTTCCCGAAAACGCCTGACGGCGTCTCATAAAGTTTCATATGGAACTCCGATGGCATTAACTGCATATCTAATGGAACGTCCATCATCAATAAGTGCCACACCACGCGCAACATCCTCAGCACTAAGAGGCATTTTTAAACTTAATATTAAAAAAATTGAAAGCCGGAGACTAAGAAATGTGCTGCAAGAAATTGCACTGAACTAATGATACTGAATAAACATTTTGATTCCATAGAAAGTAAACATTGGAATCTAGAATCATTTAATTGAATTAAGGATTAAGGGTTATTGTCCTCTATATTAACATTCCTAATTGAAAACGAACAAAAAGATTACCTATTCATAGAAATATTTTTAGATGAAAACATCAAAAAATCAAGTGGGTGGAATTTTTTGCCTGTCAGTGTATATATATATATATATATTATGGACTTGCTTAGCACCTCTTTGTTTGATACCATCTCACTGATGTTATACATGAAACCAGATGATGAACAATGTTCAAATTATTGACTTTTTAAATAGAAAAAGTAAAAGTATATAAATATTTTTTTGGAACCAGGAGATTATTCGTGTAGTATCATAATATATACACAATAGTAAAATAGGGTAGTTGGGTTTCACTGAATCGAGAATATTGATCAATAGATCAAGGAATGCGTTCTGCTGAGTTTGGCATTCATGAAATCATTGGTCACCGACTTAAAAACAAAGTCATTGAAATGGCATAAAATAGTTTTTCAATCTAAAATAATGATCTCTGACACAATTTAAGTTTAACAGGAATGAAGTTTGATGATTAAAGGAAATAAAGCTAACTGTATAACTGTACACATTATTTTCCCATATTACATTAACTGACCAAAGGTCAAAAGGATTCTCAGGATGACCCTCCATATATAGTTTCCTCAGGTTTTGCTTTATCTCATTTTTATACTCTTCTCTTTTAATTCACCTTCTTAGCAGTTCAGTGGCAATCCCCTCAAATGTTTACTCTTCCTGTCTCTTGGGATCTTAATTCTAGAATCTAAAACTAGTAGGCAGGACAATTTTTGCAAGTAAATACAGGGTAGGTAGTTGCCAGATGTTGGATGATAATTCAAATTTCATGAGCTGATGAAATGAACTTCTAAATCAAATAGAATGTTGCTAATCATTGTAATATTTTATATGTAATGAGTTCACTTTCATTTTCTTTAACAGGATTAAAATATTTTGCAATAAATACAATAATTCTAAAATAAATTATCCTGAATAAGAAATCATTCTTACTTCAATTAAAATTAGGAAAAATTCTAATATAATTGAAAGACCAGTGAAAAAACGATCCACTGGATCCTCATTCCATCAATTAACAAACAGGTAATTCATTTTTATCAAACAAAAAAATGCTAATTAAAAAGGTAAGGGACATGAAACATGAAAATAATGGTATATGACCAAATAATAAAAATAAATATTAAAATCATACTAGAACTCCTAGGAATAAGAAAAATTATAAACCTTTTTTTCCTTTTGTCTAGCTTTTTTAGCTGCTTTTTTTTCATTACGGCATTTAACTTCTGTGCCTTCTATAAAATCAAGAAGATCTTCTAATGCTCTGGTATCTCTTTCAGAATTCGAGTCAAGAGTGTTTCCTAAAGAGACAAATAAAACTCAGTCCAGATGCTATGTATATTATAATTATTCTATAGTTTTAATAACTTAACTTTATCAATATTATTAGATGTCTCTAATTCGTTATTATAAGTTATTGAAATGAACAAATAGGTTAAATATCAAACAAGTATTTATAAAACAATTAGTTATACAGGGTGTCCCATTTAGTAAAATAAATATTTGAAGAGGTAGTGAACCTCAAGAACAATAAAAAAAATCACATAAACCATGGTCTGATTCTCCGAAGAAAAACAGGAAATCTAACTTTTGTGTTTTTTAATTATTTTTTTTGTCACTTTTTTCTTTAATGAGAAACAATAAAAAAAATATTCAATTTAGGTTATTAACAATTGCTTCTTGGTAAACTAGACAAAAATTTCTTTGAATGTAAGAAGATTTTGTCTTGTATAAAGCAATTGAAAGTGTACTTTTGAGTAATTAAACTATGTGCAAAGTTTTATTTTTTATAAAATCAAGGATTATATGCAATTTTTCTTAATCAGCCAACTTATTTTATCAAACTAGGCTACATATACCCCACTTTTAGGAAAGCTTCCTTGTTTAGTGAGCTTTAAGTACATATTAAGTTGAAATTTGTTGCAGAATAAGTTGAGGTTCACCTCTAAAATTATGCGATTTGATATTTTGTCACATCAAAGTACCTTTGTTCTCAGCAAAAACAACTACTATAAATTATAATAGAGCAGTACATTTTTTGGTGTGGGTAACATAGGATGTATTGTAGTAAATTAATTTCAAAAATATACTTTTTGTGTATAAAAAACTGTTTTTCAAAAATTTATCATCTAAAATGAAGGAAACTTTATTTATGTAGAATTTTTTTTTTTTTTTCAACGGATAGGGTACTTTATTTTACAGATAGATGTAATCGGGCAAATGAAAATCCATCAATAGATAATTATTGTTTTTGATCTTCCCTTCTCAGGGGTGTCTATCTTCCCAAGATAGATGGGGCATAATATTTTTAATACATATATTTTCTTATATATTGTAACTATATCAAATTCATTTGCGTTTTATTACTTTTTATTTAATTGTATATTAGTTATTATCCTTTTTAAATACAATTACCTATGGTTACTTTTCTTTGGTTATTAATAGTAACTTTGTATTACTTTGTTACTTTAGATTTTTTAATATGGTATTAAAAATTAGTACATATAATTATCAAATTGTTTTCACTATTTTTGTTTTAAATCCTAAATGATATAATTTTTAGCAGTATTTTTTCCACAAAATCATGTAATAATTATTATATTTGATTTTTAATTTTAAAATCATGCCGATTTATAAATAAAAATTTAAATCAATCTATGATGTTAATTGATTCGATTAAAATACAGTTAAATGAATTCAATAATGGAACCAAATTCTTTAACATCTAGTTATTAGCATCATGCCTAGGCCCTTTATAAATATACAAATCATAAATCTAGATTAATATTTCAAGAGTTAAAACTTTTGAAACACCACAATATTGTTTGGATAATTAATAATATTAATCAACTATATTAATAATCATTAAAAATAAATAAATACCTCCAGAAGGTTGCTGCTTTCTTTGAGGTAAAGGCTGGGCTTGAATGTTACTTTTACATTTTGACTTTTTTTTGTTCAGTAATAATCTTAAACGTTCTCTCATTTCTTGGTAGTTCCGACTCATAGGAGCAGCAGAAGGCTAAAATAACATTAAAGGACAGCACATTAGTCTAACATAATGTCACAATAAAATTTAGTACAAAATAATTTGTAAGGAAAGTACTGAATGTTAAATGACTCTTATAATGTTAAAATTTATAAGAAACAATTACTTTCATTTTCCTCCCGGTCTATGTAGATTACTTATACCTATGTAGATTACCCCGAGCTATTACTATCTTCAGGATTCCTTCACTCCTCTCTATTGTTTTCTAATTTGTGATATGTATCTATGAAACATCTTTGTCTAACTGCCCATCTATCTCGTTTTGAGCTACCATATGTTATCAGTGACATCCATAGCTTTTTTTTTAGTTTACTCTACCTTTCAGCAATAAGGGATTTCTAGACTTCCAGTAATTCAAATTTTCTTTTTACCTACTCTCATTTTAATGATAGCCTCTTTAGAAAAGATCCAGGATTGATTTTATATCCTTAAATATTGTGATATAAGTAGCTTAATAGATATATAACCTAGAATGCAAATTACAAATTATACACTGCTATTTTAGAGAGCCGGTTAAGTCCAATTGTAGAGCCTATCCTGTCAGAATAGCAAAACAGTTTTAGGATCAACAAGAAAACACAATATCAGATCTTCTCTCTGAGAAATATGATAGAGAAATCCAGGGACCATGGCCATCCAACTGGCATTCTTGGACTCGAAGGTGGCATTTAATTTGGTGCCTCAGAAAAAAATTTGGAAGTCCTTAAGCACAAAAAACATTCCTCAAAAACTCTTAAATGCTATAAAATCAACATACCAGGAACCAGAGGGTGTTATGTGTATAAATGATCAGGAGTCAGGAGTGTTTAGTCTGGAAATGGGAGTGAAAAAAGACGACTCTGAGTTCCCCTCTTCATTGTATATATGGATCAGATTGCTTCCATTTGAAATGATATCATATATTATTTATTTATTTGGTAGTTCATACATAGTTAATATATTTTTCGAAGTAACAAAACTCCAGACCTTTCTCAATTTCCAATTCAATTTGGTGCTACCTTCACCATCGTAACGTTTTATCTTGGATATTGGAATCCAAGAATCATATATTAAAAAAAAAGAAAACATACTAATATTAAGTTATAATATACTGAGCATTGCATTTACATACAAAAAGCAGCTGCGTCGATAAAAGTATAAAAGAAAAATATACATACATTCATATACATACATAAAATACACACTATATATAAAGTAATTTTAAAAACCACAGAGGTAGCAATCCCTTCGCAATATAAGTCATAAAAAAGTAGTACTATAGTACATATCTAAATAAATAAAAAAAATAAAAATAAATAAATAAATAAAAAAAATAAATAAATAAAATAAATAAATAAAAAAAAAAAAAAATAATAATAAAAAAAAGTAAATAAATAAACATAAAATTAAACGAATAAAAATGAAATAAATAAATAGATAAATAAAAAAAAAAATAAAGATAAATAAAACAAAACGTAAAAATGTAAATTATGACATCGATATAATCATTGATTATCATGCTATAAACGAGGAAGCAGCCCGAACCAATTACTGTAATTCATGTGGGACCCTTTAAGGACTCTTATTGTAATAGCGTTCATCGTTCTCTTGGGAATTCCCAACATATCCATGTATTGGAAAGATCTTCGACACCATATTCCTCTCCAAGTTATTGTGAGCGGCAGTACTTTTATGTCCACGCCTGGCACTCCCAGTGTACGCCCGATCGCCATCCTGCAATCTAGGTCCCTATATTTATTGGCTTTGACATTGTTCCAGTGAGTGGTGCTAGGGTTATCCCCGACGACCTGTGCATCTATAATGAAGTGTCCGCTTAGTCCTGAGCACACCAGGTCTGGCTTCCACCTTCGTCTATTACCAACAAACATTTGCTCCTTTGTGACCCTGTATCCTTTTTTTTGGAGAGCAATTTCCAACATGTTCACTATTGTATCATGCCGGCGCACTCTACCACCGTGAGACAAAATGCAATGTTGAATAATATGGCTGGCAGTTTCGCTTGCAGGACACCCAGCTCTGCATTGGGTCGGCATAAAAGCCCTACGTCCTCTGGATAATCTCACTCGGGTAGCGAGGGCATTTATATGAGTTCTTACCGTCTGTATGAAGGTCCGTCCGGTTATCGGAGCCGCGTAATCTGTCAACCAATGAGTTGATGGGTGGCAGTTTTTTGATTCCCTTAATGCCTTACCATCAACGCTACGATATAACTTCATGGACAGCGTTTTCTTTCGTTCTTCACTGGAAGTGTTTTCCGCGTTGAGGCCCATTTTCGTGAGGTTGCTTGTGAGTTTTCTCATTTCCTTAGTGATAAAGGAGGAATGATAGGCGGCTCTTGCTACTGGGCAACCAGAGTACTCCATACGTCGTAACCTCGCGAGCTTGAGTGAGGGTATAGCACTGCTAAAGCTCATTACTCCCAAACCACCATCAGTACAAGCAGAATGGAAATACTGAGTAGGGGTATCCTGAGGCAGTCGCAGCCAGGAACGTATTGCCCCTCTCGTTGAGATATCCAACTTTCTCAACTCGTTCATTTTGCTTGGGCTCAGTGTGAGGAGATGAATGAATTTCGGGATGAGATAAGTTCTCAAAGTCACTAATTTTTGTTGAGGTTTTAGGGGTGCAGTGTTTGTTTTGTGCAGCAATAATGATAATTCATCGATAATCCCTTCGGCATTCATGTTGTTCAACAAAAATTTCGCTCCTAGGTATTTCCAGCAATCCAAGATACCCAACTGCTTGATTCTAGCGCCATTTACTACGAAATGATATCTGTTATCAACCTTCATAACATTAGAATTGACGGCCTTGACGAGAGAAAAGCTAAAGCATTTGGCTGGGTTGGATTCCATTCCCAGATCTTGAATAGCTGCAGCTGCGTCCGATAGTAATCTTTTCATGCCTTTCGATGAGGATGTGATTAAGACTAGGTCGTCTGCAAATGCCAGGCAGTTTACCATTGTTCCTCCCATATCGTAGCCTATTCCATCTGGAAGGGAATGGATTACCCAATCCATTGCCATGTTAAAGAGACTAGGGGATAATGGGTCACCCTGCCTTATACCTCTTCCGCATACAATAGGATCCGTATGCTGCTTTTTGTCTGTAATGGGGGTATAACATTTGCTATATAGCCCCTTCATGTAACCAATAAGTCCAGCTAGCATACCCTTCCATTCTAAGATTCTATAAAGTGCATTATGGCTCAGATTATCAAAAGCTTTGGCAATATCCATAAACGTTACATGGATTTCCTTCTTTCTCATTTTAGAGTCGTCTATTATTGACTGTAATGAGAATATATTTTCTGCAGTGCCATCGGAAGCAATAAACGCTCGCTGGTTTACATGATGCAAATCCATTTCGTTTAGACGAGTTGCAATTATCTTGTGCATTTGTCTAAGAGGGACTGAAGCAACTGTGATGGGTCTATATTCACAAGGACCAGCGGGATCATCCGTTTTCGGAATGAATATAGTCCGGGCCGCAGTTAACTTTGGTAAGTGGGGTGGGTTGGACAGATATATATTATAAAATATGGCCCTATGTAAGGGGGCAACAGATTCCCACTGCTTTACAGTGATACCATCGGGTCCCGCTGATGATTTTTTGTCCATAGCGTTTAATTTGACTTCATCAACTGTAACTGGCAGCCATAATGTAAACAACTTCTGATGCGGAATTGGCGTATCCGGCACATTGGGACACGATGCTCTCTCCATCAGCGGCCTCCAGAAAGATTCGAGTTGCTCAATATTGTGCTTGTTACGGACTGTGGTACCGTTGAACACTTCGCAAACCGCTTTCTTCCTGTCTCTTGTCCATAATTTTTGAATCTTCTTGAACTGCTCCCTTCTTCTGACAGTAGAATTAGCGGGCAATGATCTTTCACCAGATTCATTTGAAATGTTGCTTTTCACATTCACCACTGAATCGAGCCATGGATGGGGCATAATATTTTTAATACATATATTTTCTTATATATTGTAACTATATCAAATTCATTTGCGTTTTATTACTTTTTATTTAATTGTATATTAGTTATTATCCTTTTTAAATACAATTACCTATGGTTACTTTTCTTTGGTTATTAATAGTAACTTTGTATTACATTTTCCAAATTTGTGTAAGGTGATCACAGCTATTCAGTTTTCTTTATCACCCTACTCCATCTTAACTGAGCAAAAGAAAAATACAAACTAATTGGCATTATTATCCTGGCATGTAAAGAAAATAACCTGATAGAGGTAAGGATTATCTAAATAATACATAAGGATGTAAACAAAGTTCAACTTTTGCAACAGTATTTATGGCAGAACTAGGTATCACCCAAATGGGACAAACAGGGAGATGAAGAGGGAAAACCTTGAAAGAAAAGAGAAACCTTGTGATTCATGATTAATCTGATTTCAAAGAGCTCCAGTTATGATGTTAGAAGAAGTTACTTATAAATCTCTAAATCACACTTTTTAGGAGAATACATATCAAAGAAAAGCCTCACAACCATACATCAAAACCGACTTCATTATAACATTGTCCCTTCCCGTCAAGGATTTTTACTTTTATTTCAGTATTATTAATGAAAAAGAAAGTGCCATGCTCCTTTCAAGTTTTTTGGTTTCATTAATCAAGTCATTTTTGAGACAGGAACATTAAATCTACCTATTTTCAGATTTTTTATTATTATTATATTATATGTTTTTTAATGGCGAAAAAATGTTCGACTTTAGACCATATCGTTGGGAAATTGGTTGGGGGTTGCAGTGAGAACAAACAAATTAAAAAAAAAAGTGTTTAGAACAAAATAAAAAATTATATCATAAGATTATTTATTTTTATTTGTGGGTTATCACTGACTGCAACCCCCGGCCAATATAATATAACAGTCCCCTAAGTCCCCTAAGAATAACAAAAATGTGCCTTTTAAGCAGCATATATGTGACTTCACTAATTATACTGTAAACTAAATG